AGCAGAAACCCAGAAGTAGAGGTAGGGCTTGAATGGCACAGTGCTAGACTTCAACAAAAAAGCTCAGGACAGTGGGCAGGCTTACAGTTCAAGCGCTAGTACAGCACAAAAAAATACAATAAAGACTCAGTGCCGTCTTTGACCCATGTAGTATTCATCTGTTCAGCGCCACTTCACATAAGGGGCTGAGGCTCTGTGGACGGGGCAAGCGCAAGGGTCCTGGACCCATATCCCCCGGAGCCTGGGGCCAGCTGCAGAGATTCCCATGCGTATGCGGAATGTTCTCCACCAATGGCATCTCTGGGACATTTTTCCGTGTCATTTCAGATGTTCGGAAATAGACACACCTCCAGAGCTGCAGACTATTTCATTCCAAGGATGGTATTTAGTGAACACGCTGCGCTGTGTGCAAGTGCTCTGTTGACAGTGACGCCGTGTGCCGTGTGCATCCTCGCATGTTGCCCATAGATCTATGCAGATGTCCATCTGTTTCCTTAGTCTGCAGGCTGGGAAGGGCATCACTGCGGGGGAGGGCGGGTGTTCTGTGGCTCTCAGGCTGCCAGTGATGTAGCCATGCGAGGCAAGCACCTGCTTTTCTGATCTCATAGCAATGCTGAATGCGGTCTGAGCCGGCTGACAGTTTATAGTGACATCTTGCTAGATTTTTCCTGTGTGTGTGTGCGCGTGCATGTGTGTGCGTGTGTGTGTGTGTGCGTGTGCACATGCGTGCACGCACTCCCACCAGTCCTGAGGCTTGAATTCAGGGCATAGGCCCTGGCCCTGAGCTTTCTGTTCAAGGCTGGCACTCTACCACCTGAGTCACATCTCCACTTCTGGCTTTTTGGTGGTTAATTGGAAATAAAATTCTCACAGACTTTGTGCTCAGGCTGGCTTTGAACCACAATCCTCAGATCTCAACCTCTTGAGCAGCTAGGATTACAGATGTGAGCTACCAGCACCAGATTTTGTTCATTTTTTTAAATGGATGTCTTTACTTTTTAAATTTGACATCTTTCGGCTGCTTAAACTCTTCTGGTGAAGATTTTGTCTTTTATTCCTCCATACAACAGAGTTTCCTGTATTTTTTAAGACCTCTGAAATCCTGTTTTAAAATATAAACTGAGTTACCAAAATGTTTTAAGTCTTTATGAAGCTGCAAGAACAATCTCCCTGTCTAATGTAGCCCTGTTTCCACCCCCAGGCCAGCCAGAGCTGCGTGGACTCCAGGGGGCTGCATGAACACTATGCAATGAGAGAAGATCCGTTATATAAATACGGCATTGTGTACAGTGCTGGTTAGCAAAACGCAAAAGTGAGAATTTTTAGTCTATCAGGAGCTATCATAAAGAACACTTTTGTAGTGAATTATCCTAGGAAAGGAAGACAGGAAGTGAAAGATAAATAATATTCTCACATGTGACCCTATGTTAGCAGAGAATCCCAGAGTCGAAGTGTCAGCCTGGCGCGGTGGCGTGAGTCTGTAAGCCTAGCACTCAGGCTGAGGCAGGAGATCAGGAGTTTGAAACCAGCCTGAACTACACAGTGAGATTCTGCCTCAAACAAGCAAGCAGACAAACAACACAAAACAAAACAAATAAGGCCTCAAAAGTATAGCTCCAAGCGTTTCAAATTAAGCAACATCTGTGCATAAAAATGTAAGCAGAATGATATAAGAAAGAGGAGAGGTATATTTTTGAAACCAGCTCTCAGGTTTTTTTCCTTGGCCAGCCTGAACTGTGATCCTCTTTCTACTTCCTGTTGTAGCTGGGATGGTGGGCATGTACTACCACACCCAGTGTTTTCTGTTGAGTCTTGTAGACTTCCGTTACTTGGGATCGAAACGGTCTCAGTCTTCACCTCCTGAGTAGTCAGGATCATTACAAGAAAGAGGGGATAGAGGAGCAGGTGGAGAGGGAGGAAGGGAGGGAGAGAGGGGGAGAGGGAGATGGAAAGAGAAAATAGGAGAAAAGGGAAGGAGGAGACAGAGATACTTGTTATTGAGTTGAGTGATATTTCTTGTAAAGCCAGGCAGTAGCAATCCCAATCAAAACTGAGGTTCTGAGTGGGGCTGTGTGTTCAGTATCTCAATGTAAATGTATACACACGTACGTACAATATACACATCTAATTTAAAATATGTAATAAATGTACACTTGCATACATATTGTTGTTTTGTTTCACAGCTAGGGTAGAAGGAAATAGGTGGCTGTGCTAGCCCTCCGCTCTCTGGGCTGGAGTGGCCTCTGTGTCCCCCATCAGCCTGTGCACCCTCAGATTCTAGCCTGGGCCGTTCCCTGTCTCTGCTGAGGGTGGGCATGGTGGTGCAGAGGTGCTCCTGGGAGACTGCCAGGGGGCATTCTCCTTGACTCGCAGCTCCTGCCTCTCATCTTAATGGAAAGACAAGCTGGTGGTTCACTTGCTGGACACCAGCGCAGGGACCTGAAGCCCCACTGCACCAGTGAAGAGCGGCTGCTCCGGAAGCACTGCTTCTGAAGGACAAGATGGCCATCTTGATGTGGTCCAGCTGCTTGCCCGTTGGTGCCTGGTTTGAAGTCATTGCTGAGTGATTGCAGGTGCTGTTTCCAGTTTCTCATGAGTCTCCCCCTGCCTTGCTTAGATATATGCCATCTTTTGTTTGAGAATTGGCTCAAGGTGGATTTTGTTCCTGTTTTACTTGAAACATTTTCAGGAGAGTTGAGTGGTTGGGGCCAGAGCCAGGGCCGGTGGTAAGACCCTGGGTTTCATATCCAGTCTTGGAAAAACAGAAAAGTCAGAGCCTATTCTTATATTGGCTTCTAAATTTATTACTTATCCAATCGGGACAGTGTGAAAAAGATGACTAAATTAGCCTATTGGGCTTTTGAGAATTGTTTTCAAAGTTATGATACCTAGAAGACACGTTGAGAGAGATCGAAGTCAAAACGAAAGTCACAGCGATCTTCTCAAATGTCAGTACATGTTTTTAATATCTATTTTTCAACAAGTTTTGTTTTACCATATTAAAATATGCTCTCTCTAGAGATAAAAGCTTGTACTCATTAGTGACTTCCTGTCACACATCTCCGTGTAGGTGTTTTCTCTGGATATATGACATTCACGTTGATTAGTTGACTAATTAATTAATTAGAGGAATGCTTATTAAGCACCAGGCCTGGTTCCTGGTGCTTGGGTTCATTGGGACAGGAGCAACCGCCTGCTCTCTTAGAGGTGACGTTCTGATGGTTCTGGGGCGGGGGCGGGGGGCAGGCAGTGAGCAAGGGCACAGGAGCACAGCGCACAGTCAGAAAGCCAGCCAGACACAGCTGTGGAGGGAGAGGGGTCCGGGTGCGGCTCCACCCATGCGGGGTGCCCACTGGTTCCTGCTTGGGGATGAGGGGAATCTTGTGGAGCATTCTTGGAGTGAACTACTTAATGAATGGAGTCCTTTACCTTTCTAGTAGTAAGACATGTGCACCCTGTTATGCAGAGAACAGTGCGCTCCCTCCAAGGGATGATGGAGAATCAGATGCTCACCTCTCTCTGGCGTCTCTTCACCCTCTGTGTTCAGACACTCAAGCAAATCAACTCCCCACCTCTCAAGTCTCGGCTCCTCCAGAGGCCCTCTCTGAGCTCCGAGGCCTGTGTGTACCTTTGATGCTCTCCTGAAGTGCTTACATGTGCCTCTGTTTCCTCTTCTGCACCGTAGGCTCTGCCACAGGCACAGGGTGACTTTCCTACAGCAGCCAGGAGCCCACGCCTAGCACCTCAGCTCGCTCTGTACAGACGCCCCAGGGCAAGCACCAGCCCGCCTCCCTGCTCTTGTTGGTATGAGTGTTGGCTCCGGGATGTATTTGGTGCTGGGGATTAAATTCCTCGTCTTACTCGCGCTGAGCACATGCTCCCACACGGAGCCAGGTCTCGGCCTGCAGCCTTCTCTGTGTGCCGCAAGCTGTTTGTTTGGAGTGAGTGCGCAGTGGCTTTGTGATGAGTCTTTATGGCTTAGTTCTCAGGGCTCTCATTTTTAAAAGCAGGTTTTTGACTTTCCTGGGGGCTTGCCGTGCCGGCCTCACCCTTGCTGGGCAGGCACTCCACCGCGTGAGCCATCCCTCTGCACTTGGTTTTTAAGTTATGCAATTCATTTTCCCTCTCCCCCACCTCCCCCCATTTTAAATGGGACTTGTATTCAGGGACTCAAGTTCTCACTTGACTTTTTCACTCAAGGCTGGTGCTCTGCTGTGTGTGGCACACCTCCATTTCTAGCTCTTGGGTGATCGATCAATTGGAGATAGAGTCTCGTGGACTTGTTTGCCTGGGCTGGCTCTGGACTGCAGTCCTCAAGTGCAGCTTCCTGAGTAGGATTGCCAGTGCCAGCCATCGGCATCTGGCTGAACCTATTCTTAACGGTGAGCTAGAAGAAGGGAGAAGGAAATGGAGACAAAAAGGAAAAAAATCCCAGTAACTGCTATTAATATCTTGGTGCTTAATTCAAAATAAAAAGAAACAAACTGCTGGGCACTGGTGGCTCATGCTTGGAATCTTAGCTACTCAGGAGGCTGAGATCTGAGGATCACAGTTCAAAGCCAGCCCAGGCAGGAAAGTCCATGAAACTCTTACCTCCAATAAACCACTCAGAAAACTGGAAGTGGCACTGTGGCTCAAGTGGTAGAGCGCTTGCCTTGAGCTGAAGAGCTGAGGGCCAGTGCCCAGGCCCAGAGTTCAAGCTTCACGACCAACCAAACATGAAAAAAAAAATGAACTGAGACCTCCTAACAAATAGGCTGGGAATTTTTCTCTCTAACCATGTATTTCCAGGTCAGTAATGATTTTCTGACTGTGCTCCCAGCAGTGAGCAGCGGAGACCACAGGGCCGCCCCTCTGCGGCACCCCGGCCGCAGCTCCGCTCTGCTGGGATGCGTTTTGTGTAAAATAACTTTTTGTGTTACTTTTGGTCATGGCGTTTCCCTGTCCCCACAGATGACTGTGCACTATGGTGGTCATCACCCTTCCATTCACTCGCGTAGTTCACGCCCACTCAGAACTTACACTGTGATCAGGCGCTGCCGGCAGAGTCCTGCTCGCTGTGGATGACCTTCATCGACGCCCAAGTGGCCGTGCTCCGGGCCCTGCCGGCCGTGGGGTGCAAGCTTGGACCCCAGCAGCTAGCCGAGGGGGAGGTAATGATGTGACAAGGGTACCGACCGACCCCAGAAGAGATCAGTGCTTGTGTCTTGGGCTGGGTTAGGACTCAGGAGAGCAGGTTGATTCGTGTGAAGTAGTGCTGTAGTGAAGTAGCTGTCGTTGAAGAGAATGATGCATTCCTTTGACTCTTCTGCTTCTCTGCTACGTTGGGTTCTAATGAGAGGTTGGCATTGTGTCACTGTCATTCTGATACAGATAAAACCTCTTCCCTTCACAAAGTAACCAGTGCTAGGTGTTTTGGTAGCTATGGAAAGGCACTGGGGCGATGACCAAACAGCTGCTCATCCTCCCCCTCCCCGCCCGCTTCCCCATGGAGACGTCGCACTGTGCCAGCTCACTAGACAGTTTCCTGGCCCTAGCTCTTTTGAGGAAGCATTGGGTGCTTGAGAAGGAGAGTCCTGGGCCCCTGTGTGTGGTGGGGCATCATGAGGTTCCACAGGAGCCGGAGGCTGGAGGTCACTAGTGAGTGGGATGAGAGCTGGCGAGGGGGTGGAGACAGACGTACAAGGTGTGTATCGGATGCATGTTTAGTGGGGGAGGGGGAAGTGATCCTCGAGCTCACACAGAGTCGGTGACGTAACGGCTGCGCTCACTCAGCTCGCACAGGAGGAGTGCCAATGCGTGCTTCACGAGCCTTGGCATGAATGGTCCTAGGAGCCCCAAAGCAGAGAAAACCCAACTGTCCGTCAGCTGATACCAAGGCTACCAAACAGTGTCTCCAGCAACAACAACCCAAACAGCCCACATGTCCGCCATGTAGGGTGGTGCTGGCCACAGCGGTGCAGGCCTTGCCAAGACCGTGGTGGACCAGGGCAGACTCGAAGGGCAGCATGCACCGAGTATGCACCATAGCTCCAACAGGAGCACCCTGGGATACAGACGCACCAGTGGTGTCCTGGGAGGTGGGGGTGTTGAGGGGACAGGGGGCTGGTCACAGAGCAGGGCATGATGAAGGGCTGGCGTCCACGGCTGCCTCAGCATCTCGGGAGTTCCTACGTAACTCCACAAGTTTATGAAAAAGCACTTAGTCGTAGCCTTAAAGTGATGAACTCTCTGGTATGTGAATTTTATCTTAATATTAGTTAAGCATCAGTGAAGGACAAGTTTGTGGTGGTTTGGCTCATGAAGCATTGCCTTGTGGGTACTTAGTCGTAGCTGAGGAGCAAGGCACTGCTCTCTGCTGGTGCATTATCAGCAATGGAAGACACATTTCAAAACGCTGCAACAAAGGGCTCTGGAAGTTTTCCCCATAAAGAAATGATGAGTGTTTGACAGGCAAAATATGTCCAACCTAATTTAAATATTATGCAGTCCTTGCATGCAGTGAATGTTGCACAGTATCCTGATCATATTTGCAACTTATGTTCATGTATCGGTTAACATTTTTTTTTTTAAACTCTGGACCTGGGCGCTGTCCCTCAGCTCTTCAGCTCAAGGCGAGCACTCTACCACTTGAGCCACAGCACACTTCCAGCTTTTTCTGCTTATGTGGTGCTGAGGAATGGAACCCAGGGCCACATGCATGCAAGGTGAGCACTCTACCACAGAGCCACCTGCCCAGCCCGGCTAACATTTTTTTGAAAGAAAACATTTTTCTTAGAAGACCCTCTTACACCAGGGTGTGGGCAGCGCGTGACCTGTGTTTCACAGGGGAGCGGAGGGCATCAGTTGCTCTGCTCAGAATTATCTGAAAAATGGCCACACCTCCAGAGTTGGGTTGCGATTACACAGGACCAGGTTATTTTTCAATGCTGGGCATGGCCCCAGGCCCTGCTGACGGCTCACCACCCAGCCTCGCCCAGCCAGGGAGCTACAACTTGTGCTTGATGCAGTCTCTTGGCTTGGGGATATTCATTTTTTCAAAGTGCAAATTGCAGTTGGCATTGGATCTATAGGTTCCATATTCATAAATTCAACCAACCATGGATCAAACATATTCAGAAAAAGGACTGGGCCTGGTGGTACGTGCTGGTAAAGCCAACTACGAGCGGTAAGATCACAGTTTTGAGGCCAGTTTGGGCAGTTAGCAAGACCTGATCTCACTAAAGGAGCTTGCTGTGGTAGTGCACGCCTGTTATCCCCGCTTGCCGGGGGAGTAGGTAGGAGGATGGGTTCCATGCCGTTCCTGAGGGGGGAAACAACATGACCCTATCTGAAAAATATCTAAGGCAAAAAGGGCTGCAGACATGGCTCAAGCGTATAGTGCCTGCCCAGCAAGCCTGAGGCCCTGACTTCACTATGATTAAAAATTCAGAAAGTTTCCATTTGTGCTGAACGTGCACCCGTCGCCCTTGTTTGCTCATATCCACAGGCCGGGCAGCACAGCTGTTTGTGTGTCACGTCCGCGGGGTCAGGAGCGACCGGGACAAGGTGTGTGTTGTCCTGTGCCACACTACCACTTTCTAGAAGGCTCTGCAGCTTGTAGAGTCCATGGTGCGTCCTGGAGTGGCGCCGGCTCTGTATTGCCACCAAGAGATGTGTCCTTGTCCTTCTAATGTGTTTTAAGCTGAAAATACAAAAGTCATGCGTGGTTCATTGGTTCAGTCACTCATTCGGTGCGTGTTTTTCCAGCCCGCTCCGCGAGCTGGCCCCTGTGTCTGTCAGGCAAGGGGACAGCACAGAGAAGGACCCGGGGCAGGGGCCGTCTGGAATTACTGCAGGGAACCCCTCATGCTGCCAACGGGCATCAGTTCCAAAGTTAAATTGAAGAAAGCCTACTGGGAAGAGGTGGCTGCAGCTCACGTGGGAGCCACGGCTGGGCTCCTGGTGGACTCCTGCCAGGCTCTGCCTTGCATGCTGAGCGCGTTCCTCTGACTGACTGTGGGAGGGGTAGATAATGAGTAGCACGATCCTTCTGGGTGGATAATGAGTGAGTAGCCCTGGGGAGACATTTGGGAGTCACTGTCTGGATTCTCAGATTGTTTGGGTGCGAGGGGGGGCACCGAGGTGGTGGGCGGAGGCGCACGGATCAGGACCTGTCCAGGGTGGTTTCTGAAGGGAGACTTTCTCCCACTGAGAGCACAGCCGCTTGTGGAGACAGCTGCTGAGGTCTGGCTGTCTGGGGAGGGTGGGATGCAGGGTGGGGCATTCACCGTGAGCGGGAGGAGGTGGAGTGGACCTGGAGCTGGCTCCCAGGGGCGGTGGGCAGGGCAGGTGGTCACGTGAGAGGGTTCCTCAGCTCGTGGACAGGGTTGTATGCAGAGTAAGGTCACAGAGGTGACAAAACAACATCAATGGGATGGAGATGGGAGCATTTCCTATTGACTGGGTTCCAACAGTGAGCTCATGGAAGCAAACATCATGGGAAGGCTCTAGAAACACATGTTTTACTTGGTTGAGCTCCAAGTCCCCAGGCATACGAGACAGAAGATACTTGTTAGTCGTGTAAAGTCTGTTACCTGTGTCTTCTAACGACGATTTTGGGGGTTGTTGTTATTTCCTGTTCTCCCCACACACCCCGGCCTGTAATTGTACGGAAAGGACTAGGAAGGACAGACATTTGTAAGCAGTGGGTGGAGCCTTGCCACGTGTGACTCAGTTGTACTGTTTCCACACACAGAAAGTAGCTTGAGAGGAGACTGCAGAGGGTGGTAGAAAGTAACCCCTTTTGAAGAAAGGAATATAACGAGATAATGAGCAAACTCAAGAAAGAAGTAACCAAAAGAAAGAAAAATGGGATTGGTGTGGTCTGGAAGCCAGCTGAGAGGAATGCAGACCTGGGGAGGAGGGAGTGGAGCTGCAGTTAACCCCCAGGAAGCCACAGGCCTGGCATCGCTCTAGCCAGGGCTCAGTTCAGGGCTGCTGCTAAGGCTTGTGTAAGGCTATGGGTCAGCGCCCCATCCCCACAAACCACACCCAACCATGCAAGAATGGAGACTCACAGATAAGATTGTAAACCACAGATTTCCATAGAAATAAGAAGTAACTCCCAAGCAACGAGAGCCACCAAGCTGTGTGTAGAGCGGGCTGTTGGCGTTGGGGCCATGAGCAGGAGGATTTCCCACCAGGCCAGCCCCAGACACAGAGGCTGGAGTGTCAGGAGCAACCTGGGCTTCAACTTCAGACTCCAGCATTCTTAGAACGTCTTTAAAATGGATGGGATGAATTTTACTTAAGCAGTCAAGGAATTCTCCATTTGTATGACATAACAGACTACCACATCTTGCAGAGTTGTGGTGTGGTGTGTGTGTCCCTTCACCAGCACACAAACTTCGAGTGTAGCTTTGCTAGGCACTCTGACTTGGAGCTGTAGCGGGGTCAGTGGACTGGGTTAGTGCTGGGTTTTGGAACTGTGCTCAGCACTCCGTCTCTGAGTTCTTCATTCTGCAAAGAATGTGGGATTCTTTGAATGTTCCCCCTGCTAAAGTAGTTGAAGTCTACCAGTTTTAGGAAGTTGAAAAAAAAAAAAAAAGAAATATCTAAAGTTCGGGCACAAACCCTTGGAATCTTTCAATCTGCTCAGTAAAAGAGACTTTAGAAATCAACTGATTCTGTTTCCTCAAAGGAAATCACACCCCAGATGGGTGCTCACCCTCGTCGCTGGTGAGCTAATCACCAGTGTGATTAGCCAGAATTACACTTAAGGCCCGCCAGCAATGACCCCTGTGACGTCCTTACAGCATGCCACACATGTGCTGGCTGGGCTGGGGGTTGCGTATGTGTTTTCCTACTTAAAATATTTCAGTTCCCAAGTAAGGATTGTATTTCCAGCTCTACTGCTTGTTATCATTTGCCTGCCATCTCCGCTCCCTGGTTTTCTTTTCTGTGAAGAGCTGCACACTCAGTCTCTACTTCTGGCAATTATCAAGAGCCCCATTGAAAGAAATGTGAATATAGCCATTAATTTGGGTGGCAGTGGTCCTGTGTGTAGATTTTAGTCATTAGAACTGAGAAGAGCACGTAAAGATGTGAGCCAGATGTGGTGCTACATGACTAATCCGAGCCATGGAGAAAGCATAGGCAGCAGGATGATGGCCCAAAGCTGGCCAAACAGGATCAGCCGGGCAGCTGAAAAATATTGAAAGCCAACATGGCCGGCGGCAAGCACAGCATCCTCAGTTCAGTCCCCAGTGAAACCGATATAATAGCAGCAACAACAACAATAATGATGAGGCTAGTCATGTTGCCTGGCTGAAATGGTTTCTATCCCCAGCTTCTATGCATGAAGATGGCTGAGGTGAACTATTACCATTGCAGATTGCTATCCAACATGGAGAGAGAAATAAATAATAAAAATGTCAGCACCCATTAGAAAAGAGCACAAATCATTTTCTCCCAGCAATAGAAAATAAATGACAGAAAATGACACATTAAAATACAAGGCCGCCCATGTGTGGCATCTTTCTCTTCTGGAAAGCGGCGTCCACACAGGACCCACGCAGGCCAGTGGTGGCAAGCTCCCGGCCCGGTTGGTCTTCACCGCCGGCGGGGTTCTCCACGGACTGTGAGTGGCACAGGCCTCCAAACAGCCCCACAGCCCGCTCTGGGCACGGAGGCTGCTGCAGCCCAGCCCAGCTGGCACGGGAATGTCAGGATCTGTCCCTGTGTTGCAGTGGATCTGTCTGGAGAACAATGGAACTCCCAAAGCATCCTCCAGCTCACATGCCACACGAGCACCGTCTCCCACCGCAGCCTCTTCCCACCGGGAAGCCCACCGTGACCCGTCGGGGAAGTCACAACCCCGCCACGGACTGCCTCCAGCGAGCCACGGGCTCTGCCCCTCCTACAGAGAAAAGTTCACGGCCAGGTTTCCGACGTGTTCACACAAAGCCAACATCGGATGATTCCTCCTTCCCCGGAGGGCCAGCGCTCACGTCAGCTTGCCGCAAGGACAAGGGGAAGACGCTCTCACAACCAGCGAAGGCAGAGTGGCTGAGCACGGTGATTATTGCAAGACATGCGAGCAAGTGTCTGCTGAAGCTGAGCGGTTTCCTCTCCTCAGTACTCCCCCAGCCCCTCACCGCGCCCGCAGCCTTGCTCACAGACCCCAAGGGCTCTTCTGCCCTCGGGGTGGGCTCTCGTTTGCCAGGACGGCGGCCTAAAGCCAAATGGTGCGTCTCTGCAACCACGTGTGTGGTGGCCACGCTTGCTAATGAGACTATGGCGGCCATGTTTCCCTCCAGAAGTAACGTAGAGCAAGGGCTCTATGTCGGGGTCAGCTGTGGGGAAGGCACACAGGCTCTGTGTGTGTGTGTGTGTGTGTGTGTGTGTGTGTGTGTGTGGTGATGTATGTGGGATCAATCTGTGGAAGGCACACAGGCTCTGTGTGTGTGTGTGTATGGTGATGTATGTGGGATCAATCTGTGGAAGGCACACAGGCTCTGTGTGTGTGTGTGTGTGTGTGTGGTGATGTACGTGGGATCAATCTGTGGAAGGCACACAGGCTCTGTGTGTGTGTGTGTGTGTGTGTGGTGATGTACGTGGGATCAATCTGTGGAAGGCACACAGGCTCTGTGTGTGTGTGTGTGTGTGTGTGTGTGTGTGTGTGGTGATGTACGTGGGATCAATCTGTGGAAGGCACACAGGCTCTGTGTGTGTGTGTGTGTGTGTGTGTGTGTGTGTGTGTGGTGATGTACGTGGGATCATCTGTGGAAGGCACACAGGCTCTGTGTGTGTGTGTGTGTGTGTGTGTGTGTGTGTGGTGATGTACGTGGGATCATCTGTGGAAGGCACACAGGCTCTGTGTGTGTGTGGGGGGGGTGATGTACATGGGGTCATCTGTGGAAGGCACACAGGCTCTGTGTGTGTGTGTGTGTGTGTGTGTGTGTGTGTGTGTGTGTGTGTGTGTGTGTGTGTGATAATGTATGTGGGATCAATCTGTGGAAGGCACACAGGCTCTGTGTGTGTGTGTGTGTGTGTGTGTGTGTGGTGATGTACGTGGGATCATCTGTGGAAGGCACACAGGCTCTGTGTGTGTGTGTGTGTGTGTGTGTGGTGATGTATGTGGGATCAATCTGTGGAAGGCACACAGGCTCTGTGTGTGTGTGTGTGGGGGTGATGTACGTGGGATCAAACTGTGGAAGGCACACAGGCTGTGTGTGTGTGTGTGTGTGTGTGTGTGTGTGTGTGTGTGTGTGTGGTGATGTACGTGGGATCAATCTGTGGAAGGCACACAGGCTCTGTGTGTGTGTGTGTGTGTGTGTGTGTGTGTGTGTGGTGATGTACGTGGGATCAATTTGTGGAAGGCACACAGGCTCTGTGTGTGTGTGTGGGGGGGGTGATGTACATGGGGTCATCTGTGGAAGGCACATCTTTACGAAGTTGGCCTGTGGAATGAGTAGACGGCATGCCCTGGTGTAAGAGGGACAGGGTGCGGCAGAATCTCTGTCCTCAGGTTTTGTCTCCGCCTGTCTCCTGACTGGGTGGGGTGATGGTCATACCTGTGTTCCCACCGGTGGCTACTGCGCTGGAGGTACATGTGCTCCCCGGCTTCCAGGTAGGGGTACTGTGAGGCCCCGTTCTAAAAGAACTAGTGGGGTAAGTATTACATTGCCTGGTTTTTGTTTGTTTGAGAGAGGATCTCACAGTGCAGCTAAGACTGGCCTTGAACTCTATCCTGTCTCAGCATTCCAGTGCTGGGATTACAGGTGTTCACCACCATCCCTAACTGCTTCTCCCCACAGCTCTCTCTCCCGCCCACCAAGTGATCCCTCACAAATCACATTCACCCTCTTGGCTCCAGTTGGTGTACATCCTAACCCTATGAGCGGACCCTGAGCCACTTCCCCGAACAGCTGGGGCACCAGCTCTCCTGCTCTTACTCCCGCTCCTTCCACAATGGACCCCTGTCTGCAGTGTTGGGCTCACACACCAGACTGGAGGAAAAGAAAGGTCATCCCAAAATGGAACCCATTCTGGAGCATTGTTTGGATACTAGATTGGGACTTTGTTTCAAATTGCAGCTTGGAGATTGTTCCAGGAATTTGGAGCCAGCCTGCATGCTCCCTCCCTCCCTCCCTCCCTCCCGTTCCCACCTTTCTTCCCTCCCTCCCTCCCTCCTTCCTTCCCTCTGTCTCTCCCTTTGTGCCCCTAACTTCCTTTTTCTATTAAAATCTCCCAGTAGAGCGGATTTATATGAGAGAGCCTACTGACAGACTCAGCCCACAGGAGCTGTTTATTTTCAAACCTAAGTGAAATAAGGAAAGACAAGCAGACACCTTAGAATTGTGTCTGTTATCCCCATGGAAATGGAGCGATCAACACAACACTGAGTCTCCATGGGGCAGAGGCCACAGGATGGCACACTGTGTTGGGTCCCGTCACCAGATGGAGCTGCCTTTGGCCCTTAGCTGGGAGATACAGGGAGGCGGGCAGGTACTGGTGATCCTTCCTCCTGACCACGGAGACCTGTGATGACCCAGGAGCCTCTCCAGGACCTGCCTTCCCAGGGCAGCCGCGAGAGCCAAACACCCTGGGTGAGATAGAAAAGTGTGCCGCGAAGCTTTGGTTCCATTCGTGCATCTGTTGCAAGGCTCCTATCAGAACAGTTTCCTGTTCTGTCTTCTCTATTTGATTCAGGCTCCATCTGCTTGGTTGAGCATTTTTACAAAATCAATGTAAACTCCAGAGAAAAAGTCCCTGTTGTTTGTTGGTGAGGGTCATATTTGGAGGGAAGAAAAGCACCTGTCACTGTGATAAATCACTTCCAGGATAGAAGGGTCTTTGGCAAAGCGGAAGATTGAGTAGGCAACTCAAGGGGAGGGAAAACAAAAAGAAAATGTCACACAGAGTGTGGAATCGATGACTTTTATATAGAATGTTTAATGCCTGAAGTGACTACTCTCATAATTGCTCATTCAGTGCTTATAACTCAGCGGAGCAGGTAGCTTTACTTTGCAGAACAAGAAATGAAGGCTGAGCTTTAATTGACTCCTTCAGGGTCCCATGGCTGTGGGAAGAAGAAGCAAATTCTAGCAGAGCTTACGTTCCTGGACTTGACTTCTAGTGGTCCCCAGCTCAGCCCAGGTTAATTGCATGGAGTTGGATTTCCATGGCTGGCCTCACGGCTGCATGTGTGTGTGCACATGTGTGCACATATGTGTGTGCACATATAGTAAATCTCTGTGAAGCGTAGAGGGTATGTATGTGTAGACTCACCGGAAGGATTTTACCCTTTGCTCAGATTGAAAATGTCACTGTGGTGACAAAGTATGCAACCGTACCTGTGCTGTGCAGTGTGGACTGAGGTCACCTCTTCTGTCGGCTGCATTGTTCTGGGTGTGCCCAGGCTTGACTGGCATTGGCCTTTCTTTCCCCTGCTGCTTTCAGGTGGCCTGGCTGTCCAGCTTCCTCTTTGCCAGAATGAGACAACCTGAAGGGAAAGTTGCGTCCAGGGCCGACACGGAGCTCTCTCCTCTGACATATTGATTGATTGATTTTTAATTTTTTGTGATTCTGGGAAGGAATCCAAGGCTTTATGCACACCAAGACAGTGCTCTACCATTAAGCCACGTGTGTGTGCATGCGTGACCGTCCTGTGTTGGTGAATCAGTGCCGAGCCTGGGAGGCAGTACCTCCTGGCCATGCTGCTTCCCCATTCAGACCAGACCTGGCCTGCGGGTCAGGGCTGCGCTGTGGACCTGCTTGCTGCCCCGTAGTGGACACTCAGCTTTGAGGCCATAATTAGGCCGTGGTGCTGGTATGCATTTCAGACATCCCCGTCAGAGACCTGTCTGGGGGATGTTAATTAGCGGATGAGTTCTCGATCACAGAGGGAGCGAGGCGCCGCTCCTTGGGCCCCAGCATCCCCAGTGGAAGATGTGGTGCGTGCCCCTCCTTTGGTTCCATCTGTGCGCCCTGCTCTGCCCTGCTCTCTGAGGCTTCCTGGGCCCTGCACCTTAGCCACCCCTGTGCAGCCGTGTGGACAGGAGCGCCAGCCCCTTCTCCTACAGCACAGACCGGGCAGCCCAGCCGCGCCTCCCAGAAGCCAGGCCTGCCACACAGGGCTGAGCGCGGTGAATACCCTGCCGCGGCAGCCGGCTTTTCACCGCGACAGAAGCAGCCTCCTTATGACGAGAGAGGGCCGTCGTGGCTCCCGCTTTGGGCTGCTCAGCCCCACTGCTTTTAGACTTGGTAGCACATCCTGGCAGGGAGTGTATGGGGAGGCAAGGCTGCGCTGCTCATGCTTGGACAGAAGAAAGGAGCGCGCAGGCCCTGCCAGGCCCCTTGGAGGACACGCCCCACGGACCCAGGGCCTCCCACCAGGCTTCACCACTGCCCTGTAGCAGTCCTTTCAAATCTTGGCCACAGCTCCGGCAGGGCTCAGACCCCCTTTCCAGGCCCCAGAGCACAAGAGAGGGTGCGGTACATTTGTTTCATTGTAGTTGCATGCCAGCTACCTGTCAATATGAACTGGACCCATGTAGAGGAGAGGTGTTTTGATGGCATAGAAGTAAACCCAGTGGCTCATCCTCTGTTAAAACTACAATCCAGGGTGAGTTCCTGGGATAGCCATTCTAAAGATGCCAAACCACACAGTGAACTGAGTGACTTGAATGGCCTGCGAGTATGAGCTCAGATGCTCATTTTAAAGACAGATTGAATAGATCTTAAACACAGCCCTGCTTCCAGTTTAAAATGTTCTTCCTGTAATGTTTGTGAGGTTCTAATTTTTTAAGCAAAATGACGATATGGATTGAATTTTTAGTGTGGTTCCTTTGGTCATGTGTGCACGTAAGCTCTGAGGTTGGAGTGGAGTCACGGTGTCCACATCTCTCCTTAGACAATAGGAATGATGCACTTTTCTAAAACCCCCTCGTTAAATGGCACCTCTTTTGTACAACTACTTAAAGTTAATAAATAATTTGAAAACATAATGGCTAACAATTATTGCAGGCTTATGCCATACTGGCCCATTTTATTAAGACCTTTGTACTAATGATCTCATCTAAGTCTTACAGTAACAGTTTATTATGGGTAAGTCAATACCCCACTTTTTAAAAGGTTTTAAACGTGGATCAGTACACTGGAGAATGGCTCACTCTCGGTATTCTAACACTGTACAGTGGAATGTAGATCTGTCTGCCTTATCACTTTCAGCTCGCTTCTGATT